GATTTATCAGCCTCGGCACTATTGACATTTTGGACCACATAATTCTTATTTTGGGGACCTGCCCTGGGCATTGTAGTATGTTCAGCAGCACTAAACTTTACTACTCACTGGGTTTCCATAGCACTTCTCCCAGTTGTGACAGCCAGAAATATCTCCAGACATTGCCAAATGTCCCCTGGGACCACAATCCAGCCCCATCCCCCAATTTGAGAACCACTACTATAAAGGCATAGGGGTGTGGAGGGAGTGAAATGGATTTATCAACTCAGTATAATTTTTTTGCTCAATCACTGTATGCATAACAATGCTGTATGTGCGGTGAGAAACGTAAGACTAAGGCAAAGTTTCTATCTTCACATAACTTGCAGTATACTACAGGAAATGAACACAAATAACTAGGACACAGAACAGTATTACACAACAATTAGTGATATCTCAATGTCTACTAGGAGAAAGGAAAACAAATTTCTCATTGGAAATATCAAGAAGAGTGCTTCGAAAATTTAGGAAGTCTGGAAGGAAGAACAGGATTCCAGCAAGTCGGGACAAGAATAAGGTCGTATAGACTGAAGAAAGACATTGGAAACCAGTGTTGGGGAAGAGTGTGCTTTGAATTCCAAATATTTGGGACTTTATTTAGCTCATATAAGGAGTCTTACATGGAGTTCATTTTATTTCGATGGTAAGATGATGAAGTCTCATGGCTCTGGTTCTCTTAACATTTATATTTAACTCTTCCTCCCCATCCCTGCAATACTGGGGAGAGAGAAATAAAGAATTTGTGATGAGTCTGGAGAATGATCCAGAGCAGTTCTGCTAGAAAAGTTAATTGATAGAATGGATGGCCCTTATTATTATACAACAGTCATTTTTTATTATTTGTTCATTTATAATAATATTTATTAGTATACAAGTAAAAGCCATTCAAGAAATGATCTTTTTGGAAAACAATTTGAATAAATGGGGAAAATGCATAAATTACTGTTTCTGAAGTTTGGGTGAGAAACTAGCCCCCAAGTTTTAATAAAACTAAAAACACAATAGAAATAAAAAGTGCAAAAAAGGAAGTCATCAAAAGCTCTCTATTTAGGAAATTGGTTCTTAACCTCTGCAGACTTTTGTATCTCTTTGAGTGTACGATGGAAATGGCAATTTCCCCCCTAAAAATATCCATAGGCATATATTCATAAAATTTGGTTTGACACTTCAGGTATTCTCGATCTTCTGAAACCCATCCCTGGTCTTTCTAGGCATCTGGTCCTCAGGTTATAAAACCCTGACACAAAACTATAGGATACAAGATTTAGACCACTGCTTTAGAGACTCAAGAAATACTAGAAATGCCTGAAATACCATGAGAGACAGTTTAGAAGCTGAAATCCCTGGGCTGTTTATAATTATCTGGATTCATTTTAACTGAAATGTAGTCAAAAAACATGTAGTTATCATTTTCCATTAAACTTCTGAAAGTATAAATTACTTTCATTTGATGGGAAAATTGCTGTATCTCTTAAAAGCAATATGATAGAAAAATAGAAAGATTCCTGAGCTGAACCTGAGAAGACTGTAGGGTTTCCTCCAAGCTATCGGAAGTTGTATTAGTAATTTAATTTCTCTGAGCTTCAGTTTTATGCTTTTTTAAAAAAAATAGTAGAGTATTGGACTATATTATTTTGAATCTTTTTATAGATTCTGAAATTTTATAATTTAAATTAAATAAATCTAAATATAAAAACAAGACAAGTAAATAACTTCTTCTAAAAAGGAGAATAGCCACAATTATTTCCACAGTAACATATTTTCAGGAAGTGATTCAAAGCTAGATGTGGTTGAATTGCTAAATGACTGGATTTGCAAAAGTGGGTGATAATTAAGTCATTATGCTAGACCCTTATTAACTATTAATGACTTCTCCATGACTTTGAGTCAGAAGGGTGTTTTACAAGAGAGACTCTGACTGGGCTGTCTGAATGATGAATCATCTCCCACACTGAGGTGGTCTTCCCAGCTCCAAGGTACTTATAGGAACTACCAGGAATTTAACTGTGGTTGCCTGTGTTGTACTTGGCTTTTAACTAAAAAAAAGAAGAACTTTCAATATTGATATCACCATTCTTTAGCCTGCAGGAGCAAAAGATTTTCTTTGAGAAAAAGTGCTTGACATTAAAAAAATAACACAGCCCGCCAAGACTCCCATCATCTGAATGCACTCACCATTTGTGTGGCTTTAAATCTGGCAGCACGTACACCAGGACTAAGGATCAGAAGTGCATCTGGGTAGCAGAAGCCAGTCCATGTATTCTCCTCCACCCCCTTTTGTTGTCTGTTTTTTGTAACACATGTTAGGCACCAAAGAGACAAACAAGGATAAAATGTTTTTCTCCTTTCCCATATGGTTCTCCACCAGAGATACAAAGCCTAAGCAAAGCATCAGATTTCAATGTTCAGACTGCTGAGAAACCCCACTCTCTTGTTCTCTATCCATCACCATTCTTCTTCCCAACAAATATTTTTCCACCAAGTACAAAGCAATGTAGTCCAATGACATACAGTGTTATTCCTACTTACTCCCTTCCCAGTGCCTGAAAATTAATACTGCATTTGAGGGATAATAATTTTTGTGCCTCATTTCATTGGAATACAGTCTGATTAAAGGGCATTAATTCACACTATTTTGAACACTGAAATTTAAAAATGCAGATAGTTCGTGTGTAAATGAGTTCTGTTCTATGAGTTAACCAAAAGTCTGTTGTTTAGAACTCTTAAGACATTTCTCATGGAAATACTTTAAAAATGGTGATAAAATTTCAGGATAGAAAAAGGGGAGAATAAAAAGAAAGGAGAGAGGGAAGGAAGAGAGGAGGGAGAGACAGAGGGAAAGAGGGAAGGATGAGAGAGAGAACCCTAAATCAACATACAACACATAATATTAAACATCATTTGCATGCAAACATTTCTGTCTGTTCCAAAATGGAAAGTAAAAATCTCTTAGAAGCAGAGGTGCAGGGTAGGTGGCAAGGACTGTTTCAGGTGTGTGAACAATGGGGCTAACAAGAAAATGATGTTGGCTCCTGCCCTGTTGTGGGACAGTCTCGTTATTTGACAACACTGCAGCAGCTTCTACATCAAGAGGGTACAGGACCCCACAAACTGAGGACTGTGTGGCTACTGACTGTGTGGCTGTTCCCATTTGCAGAGCAATTATAAATGGGGTGTTTTAATGTCAGAGATTGCCAAAAACATTATTAAATCCTGCTAAAGAAAGAGTTGCAATCTCCAACTATTTGGGGGAATTTAGGGGTCTATTAATATTTTCAACTGGCTAACTAAGCATTGCTATATATGACCGAAGTGTCCATTTCTTTTATTTAAAATTTTATAGTAAAATTTTTCAAACATTCAGGACAGTAGAGAGAATAATAGCATGAATTTATGATCTCCATCACTTCAAAATCTTATGATGTTGATTCATGTTCATCAGTTATTCTTTTTTCTTTTCTTTTCCATTGTCAAATATTTTGTAGAAAAACATAGCTCTTGTGTCATGTTTACTTCTGTTATACAACTCTAAAAAAAGTATCTTTTCTTACACAATACAATGTTACTTTAATGTCCAATAAAAGCAGTATTTTTTAATCATGTAATCATGTAATACTCTATTCATGTAATACCCTATTTCATGTAATCATGTAATACCCTATTCATAATCAATTTTTCCTTATTGCCTCTAAAGTGTCTTCTATGTTTGGTTTCTTCAAATCAGTATTCAAACAGTAGTCCCACACTGCATTTGGTTATGTATCTTAAATGTGTTTTCATCCTAAGTGGTCTCATCTCTGTTTTCTTTTTTTTCCATACACTGACTCATTGCCAAATTCATCAGTGCCATGATTGTCAGTGGCTGTTTTCTTTTTTCCTGTATGCCTCATTTAATTTATTTCATTTTTCTTCATATATTCTTTAAATGAAAGTTAATTCTAGAGTGATTTCTTAAAATACCATAGCAGTATCTTGATTTTGTCACTAGTTGGCTCTAACAAATCCATTTAGATATGATTAAAGAAAATATTTTGTTATCTTCCATGGTTAATGGAAGAAAGTATAATGTAAATTGAGATAAAGTGTTTCCATATTGCTCAATATTAATTGTATAACATGCTGAATGTCTTACATATGGCCTGCTCTGCTTGTTTATGACACCTAGTTGGTTCCTACACACCTTAGAATTTGCAGATTCAAAGGAGATTGTTACTGAGAAATGTTGATAGAGAGCATTAGAAAGCTGTGACCAGATTTTGAAGGGTCTTAATTGCAAAAAAAAAAAAAGCAATGTACATATTTGCATTGTGCTTCTAGAATAGACTGGAAGATGGTACATCTACAGGTAAGAGACCATTTAGGATTCTATTCGAATAAGCAGGATCATGATAATGTAATAGACACTGCAGTAGTAAGTCATTGCTACATGGTCTATTATTATGTTAAACCAGCTCTGGAAAATGAATATAATATTATGTCTTCCTTCCTTTGGTTATGCTCTACATAAATCATCAGATACATAGTTGAAAGTTGAAGAATAAACAAGGACATGAAACCTGGGGTAAGAGTGCTTGACAATAGTAGTATATAAATATAATGACATTTGTAATCCTCAGAACATTATTATGCAGGTACACTGTTGTTATTTCCGTTTTAAAGATGAGGAAACTGAGTTACAAAAAGCGTTATTTTCCCAAAGTCACATAGTAATAAATGGAGGATCCAGGAACTGAATTTAGGCAGTCTAGCTCTTAACCTCACTGTTATCCTGTCTCTCAGAATAGAGTTATTTGTTTGCTGTTACCTTTATAAGAACACCAGGAGGTAGAGAAACTTCTAACACTGATGCCAATCGTGAAACTTGAAATGTCTTCAAACCCATGTGGGATTTTAATGTGAGTACTTAAGTATTACATGTAATTTTTATGATAACTGTATAAATATCCCTATGTTTTAAACAGGTCATCAATAACCTTGGTCCTCTGGAACTGATTCTTAATACTCCCAGCCATCATAGAGTTCATCATGGTAAGGGAATTTGGTCTTTCTTTCCTTCTTCATTTCTTTAGAAATAATATCATTTTGAAGCTTTTCATCACAATCATCCCACATGGTCACCATACACACTATGCAAATAGTCATCATTTCTTCCTTTGTACCTGAACAAACCTCATCTCCAAAGCAAGGACTAGAGAAAAAAATCAAAAGAAAAAAAACAAAATCCTTTTCAAATGTAGCTTTTGGACTTTCCTTTTGGCCTAGATCTCCTCAGTTGTAGTAGAAAAATGAGTTAACTAGCTGAGGTGGTATACCCTTTATATCTTGAAGGAGCCTATTGAAGGCCATTCCTTGACCCAATGCTCAGGGTCATTTCTGTGTGTAGCCAGAGTCTCTGATCTTGAATATTGTTGGGATTTGAGGAAAGTAAACAACACTTCACTTTCCTGTCTAAATTGTGTGAACAAACTCAACATACACTGCATTTGTCTGACAAAGAAAAAAATCCCATGTGGCTAGCACCTGAAGTTTAAAGACACCACTTAAGACATAACAGAAACGTTTACATTTGTACACCAAAAGACTTGTACAAGTATGTGCCTATCAGCAATAGGAAAAAAAGAGATATAACTCAAGTATTTATGCTCAGAAGACTATTCATGAAATGGAGAAATCTATAGCAATGGAAATGCCCAAACTGCTGTGCCATGCAGCACTTCCATAAATCTCACAAGCATAATACTGACAGACAGAAGCCAGTAATCAAGAGTAAATACTATTGTCTGTCTGACCAGTTTCAGGCATCCCTGGAAGCACTGGAACACTAAAGGCCTGCCTTCCCAAGAGGGGCAGGGCCCTTTTCGCATGGCAGGGAGCAGCGCAGAAGTACAGTCTCCCCTAGGAAGAGGAGAGGATGGGATCGCAGCACATGCTCAGTTTCTACTTCCAAACTCAACAGTCGTTCCCCCCATCCTGAAAGAATCATTAGTAAGGGGGTGGAGAGGGGAAGTGTTATGCTCTTGAGGCTCTCTTCACGTAAGTGAAACATGAGGAACGGAGAAGAACAAGTCCACACTGAAGAAGATATATTTGCTAGTGTTCTCTAACTTAAGTGCACCTTCCCCCTCATGTTGTTTTATGTCAGGGTTTCTCAGCCTTAGCACTGTTAACATTTTGGACAAGACAGTTCTTCATCTGGAGCAGGCAGGGGGGCTACCCTGTGTATTATAGGATGTTGGTCCCTGCATACTAGATGCCAACAACGTCCCCTTCCTGTTGTGACTAAGTCTCCAGACACTGCCACATGTCCCCTGAAGGGCAAAATGCTCCCTCCCTCCAACTGAGAACCACTTTTTAGCCCACATATAGCAATGGTTTGCATCTGTGTAGCCAACCTCACTCTTTTTTCACTGAGGGAAATTTTAACTTGTGTCTTCACTCTCAAATGTACATTTGCCTGGATGGAAACCATGCGAGGACAGTTGAGTTTGTTGGGGTAGTGACTTGGTGGGTTAATATTATTTTTTTTTTGATTTGCAATCATGTGGATATGCTTGTGTCTATTTAAACTTTTTTTTTAATTAAAGAAACTATGCCCAGCTATTTAAATTTAAATTACAATTTGCTTTGAAGCAGGAATAATATATATGATATGAGTTAATAAAATTAATCAAGGGTAATGGAATTTAAACATACCTTTTATGATTAAAAAATAATAAATTCTCACTCTAAGTAGAAAGTTTTCTTCCTGGAAAAAATGCAGAGAAAAAGGGTAGAAAGAACAACACACTCCAAAATTTTAAAAAAAGTACAAATGTGCATATATTATTTATTTCCTATTGCTTTTTTTTCTAGGCCATTTCATTTTTTCAGGACTCTTTGATAGTCCTGAAAATAGAATTACTTAGAATTATCCCAGATTTTTAAGAAGCTGGAAAAGTGTGAGCATGAATTTTTTAAGTCTGGGATAATTCTAAGTATATACAGTTTTAAGGAAATCTTTGCTCTTTTTAGTGAAATGAACCAGAAGATAAATAAAATGAAAACAAAACTTTATTTACTAGCAATAAAATATTTTACTAGCAAATAAAGTCTAGCATTGTCAGTGAAAAGACATTCCTCAGAAAATCATTCTGCTGCATAAGTCTTCATTTTGTGAATGGGTTCTAAAATACAGTGAGTTGTTTCAAAAGCCTAACTTCGTTTTTCAAAATAATTATTTTTCAAAATAAATATTTTGTTTCACAGGCAGAAACCGTTATTGCATAGACAAAAATTATGCCGGCACTCTCATTATATGGGATAGAATTTTTGGTAAGTAAAACATGTGGGAATAAAAAAATTAAATTAGCTCTTTAATTCACAAAAAGTCAAAGATCATATTGTTAATATTTATCTTCCAGGGACATTCCAGGCAGAGAATGAAAAAATTGTATATGGTCTTACACATCCCATTAATACGTTTGAACCATTTAAGGTGCAGGTAATGTAATTGGTTTTGTTTTTTCTGAATTAATTTATATCTGTTTTTAAATCTTATATTTAAAAGAAAAATCAGGTGTTGAAAGGTGAAAGTACATTACACTACTCAGAAAAAACATTTTTAACCATAAAATAATTTGGAAATAACTCTGGCACTCAAACAAAAATTTGAATCAAACTGGGCAAAATACATTTGAGAGCAACTCATTAAAAGAATTTTTAAATGTATCTACTACCTAGAATAAAAAAAAAGCTTTATTGCAAACATATTCTTTCTTAGAAAAGACCTGAATTATATTAATTTATTCAGAAGGAGCAGTAGTAAAATGTATAATTAAGGCTGATACCACAATAAGAAAAATATTTGCTTCAAGTCTACATGACCTTGGTTAGAAATTCAACATGAGTCCTTTGGCCTACTCTTCTTAGATCTAAGTGTCAGGAGCTACTACCAGTTGGTCAGGTCTGCACATTACCTCACCTACCTTAAGACTTGCCCTGGACCAGTTTTCTGTTAGACATGTGGATTGGTTGTTCACTGGGCACTAGAGGAATGAGGAATGTCTGTGAAGCTCTGTTCCATCAGTGGCAGACCACCACAAACACTCTTGGGGTTAGGTACTAGTAGCAAATGAGAAAAAGATAAGAATGCTCAAAAAACTGAAGAGGTCAGTCTACAATAGCTCTTCACGAGGGACTGGGTTTATAGCATTCAGCAAGCGAGGAAATTACAGGTTCTTGTTGGGTCTGCTTTCCCAACCTACCTCTTCAAAGTTTTAAAGTTAAAACATTGAACTTTTACTGTGTGCAGTGTATTGCTAACAGCTCAGCAGTGTAACCAACTACTCAATATTTAACATAACCATTACTATACCAAAAAGGCCATCACCAATTGCCTTTGGCTTTGCAAATGAAAGGCATTTTTATCTCACACTTCAAAATAGAAAAGTTAATTATTTCTCTTCTTTCTTCTCAATTATCGGGCATTTCTATCTTTCTCTCTCCCTCTCACTCTGTTAGGCATTACTAAGAACTTAACATATTTCTCAAGAGAATACTAAAAAATATTTCAAGAGTACTTTCTTAATAATAAGCTTTATAGAGTTGAAATCAGTTTAGAAATAATACATTGAGAGCTACTTACTTCTTCATTTGGTGTAGTCTTGTCTCCTTAATGTGGAGATTAAGAAATAGGTGAGTTGGTCTGTGTCTTCTAGGAGTGAGTCTTTACAGCTTAATGTGCCTGAATCATGGAAAGATCTTTACTAAGTGCAAATTCAGCAAGTCTGAGTTCTGTTCCAGATTTTGTGCTTCTAACAAGCTCCCAGGTGATGCTGGTACTGCTGTTTCATGGCCGATCTTTTAAGTAGCAAGTGCACATTCTTGCTGAGGAAAAGGGGTTCATATTTGAAACAAAGTAAAGATTGAAAACTGTACAGCATGAGCTGCACAAAGAGTTGGAATATTAGAATTTGGGGAGACACAATATTCAGTCCATCACAGATGTTTATGAGGTGGGGTTGAATCTGTCCGTTTCAATTCCCCCGGCCTCTGCCCTCACATAAACATTTTCTTTAGCATAGTAATTGTCACAACTGAGTCTAAGATTTAGTCTTCTAGATGCTCACTTACACTGTCAAAAATGTCAAATCAGCAAGCTGTAATAATTAGTTCCTGTATCTACAAAAAAATACATACTTTCATTTTACACTTCTATTTCTTTATATTCAGCTAAATTTCCTACATTCCCCTCAGTGGCACCAAAAGCAACTTAGGATGGCCCTCACTAGTTGGAAAGGTTTATTCCCCACCCTTATTTTTAGGCATAGACCACTCACCTTGCTCTCCCTTGGAATCCAGTAGTTTCAGGGCACTGGAAAAGCAAACAAGTGATAAAGTGTTCCTTATTTTAAAACATTCCCATATATTTCTTGTGGCTTGTGTAGAGAATGAAAGCAATAAAATTGCAGTTTTCAAAATAACAAAACAGAGAAGTATATTAATGTGTGTTTTGAGTCCTAAGTGCATTAATTTTCTATATTATTATTATACATTTTATATTTTATATATTAATATTCTCTATATTATTGCAAATCCCCAGCTTAAGTTTCCATCTAATATTTTCCTTTTCCCCAAACTCTGTTCACTAAGCCTATGTTGTTCCTTAATTGCTTCAGATTCCTTATTGTAATATTTAAGCAATTTTAAAAACCATTTTATAATCCTAGCCATTTAAATTGTTAAGTGACAATGGAAATGCCAGTGAGACCACAATTCTGACAGAGCCAAACTTCTTTCTGCATTAATTTATTACTACACTTAAGATATATTTATTTCTAGAGTCCAGAACTGCTGTCCAATTTCTAGGACTGTTTTTAGTACTATGATACATTATTATCACATGTATAGTATGTATAGCTGCTTGTTAGCACATATTTTTGAGTACTTATCATGTGTGGGCATACTCTTAACTTCTGTACATGTCAAATGTACAGTGTTTTTATTTAAAGAATGTGAATTCCTGCTGTATGCCTCATCACAAACTCTTGACTCAGTAAGCAAACGCTACCTTTCCTTATGGTACTGCTGAGGAACCTACTATCAGAAATGGCTTTGAACAATTCCATATTTATAGACAGGTTTGTCTGTAACTCAGTATGGTAAATGAAGGGCTACTTTAAAATATTTTAAATATGCACCTGATAAAATAAAATTTAATAAATTAATAATATTAATTATATAATATTTTGACAGATATGCAATATTTTTGCATGTTTCTGTATTCAACCTTAGTGTCTATTTAGCAGGACTCTAGAAAGGATGTCATTAGACACAGATAATAAGTGCATAGGCTGCTAGTTAATTCCATTGGAAGGAAAGCCTCTTAACTTATTCCTTTTACTTTGCTGATTTTCTAAACAAAAGACCTGTTTTTTAATTGCAAAATTATAATTTAGTGGATCTTCAATAAAATTGACAAAAATATATTTAAACTTAAGGGACACAAAATTCATTGCATGAATTATAATTTAGAATGTAATTGCCTGCTAATCTGTTTAAACAAATTATATAAAACCTATGTATTAGAGAAAATACATGTGAATTACATTGAACGGTTAAATAAAATGCATGGTTTATTGTATTTAATATTTTTGTTATGAGTTTTTCTTATTTTAAATAAGCTATGTTTTTATTTTTCTAGTTTCACCATTTAGTTTACATATGGACTACATTCTGGGCCACACCAGGATGCTTCAATAAATTTTCTGTCATATTTAAAGGACCAGGATGGGGTCCAGGTAAACCGAGACTTGGACTGAGTGAAGAAATCCCAGAGGTAATACAGAGCTCATGAGTTTGGGGTTGGTGAATATTGGTCTGAGACAGCCCTCTGTAGTACGTAACTTAGTGAGTTGCATACCACCTAGGGGCCAATATGAGGGGTGCCTTCTGCCAGGCAGACATTGCCTCTTACCAGGAAGCATGATGTGTGGGGCAGAGTGGCAGATGCCGGTTTTCAAATCCATTCAAACCCATAGTAGTGCTTTTGTGAAATGTAAAACTATACAGATAGATGTGGCTGAGTCAGAATCTTTAAACACTAGAGATGAAGGAACGCTTAAAGATGACTTAGCCTGCATTGTGTTCATGAAAACTGAGGTCTCCAGAATGGAAGGTCTAAAGCCATACCAAGACGATGCAGTTATTGGTTTGGATCGTAACTTTATACATTTGTAGTAGAGTAGTAGTATTAAATATGGAAATCACATGAAAAACCCAAACAAAAGGCAGAAATTTATAACAGTAGAAATTAGATAAAAAATTCAATTTCAATCTAGAATTCCTCTTACAGAAATGAAAAAGGTATTTATTTCCAATGATTCAGGATATATATTGTGATTCCTTATTAAAATAACTGTCATTAGTAATAATATAGAAACAATGGAGTAAACTACTGCTAACTTCAAAGATAATTAAGAGTATAAAAATTAGCCAGTATTTCAAGAAAATAAAATCATATGTTCTATTTGCATATTATTACTTTTAAAAATCCTAATCTAGAAAAGGATGTTTTCTCATCCAGTTAGGAAAACTGTTGTGTTTAAACTTCCCAGATACTTTTGGTTACGTTCAGTTGTGTGACAATGAGCTGACCTGATATAGGTGAAAATAATTTGCTTATGTCAGCTTCAAAAAGTGTAGTTAGCTATGATCCATTTATTATTTTTTCTTTTTTTTAATAGTCCAAAGTGAATATTTAAAACTGTATTGGTGCCTAAATCTGCATTATAAAAATAAAACTGTAGAGTTTCTGGGAAGCTGTAATTGAGAAATGTTTCCAGTAAGGCAGTCTTTCCCTTTGAGGGATAATTATCTACACTACCTAAAACCACCTTTCGTTTTCTCTTTTGCTATACTTTCACATAAAATCATGAAGATATTTTCATATTTCCTATTTTCATGCTCACTTGTTTACACTTATCATCAGTACATGTTGCTGAATCAATTCTTATATTGAACTCTGTAAGTTAGAGTAAGTCAAAATTATAATGCTTCTGAAATGAAAAACAACTTTCCTAACATTTTTTTTTACCTAAAAAAATGAATGTCAGTCATTTTGGAAAAAAAGAATAGCAAAATCTTTAATTTCCTTTTTCCCATCTCCTCTTTACTTAGTGTAAAGTTCAGTGAGAAGAATAAGACAGGGAGCAATCTAAAGGAAAGGCTCTTTCTTGTCTTCCTAGGTCACAGGGAAGGAAGTTCCTTTCTCATCATCGACATCTCAGCTATTAAGGATGTATGCCGTTGTACAGTTTGCTTTGATGCTGGTATTTTATGAAGAGACCTTTGCAGATAAAGATGTAAGTGGCTTTCATTTTAAACAGTGTGAGAAAAATATCTGTCACTTTGTATGAAAATAAAAATAAGCTCCCCATGTTAGAGCTGTGCTCTATTCTTTTCTGTAATTGTCTCCTTTGATTTTGGCAATATCTCACATTTAAACAGGTAAATTAATTCTTCTAGAGTATTAAATGTAAATTAATTAATTACATCTAAAGTGTTACTGTAGAGAATGGCCATCAATAGTATGCTGTTGATACTGATTAGATTTGAGGAAGCACACAAAAAAAGTCTTCCCTAAGAATTTTGAGCTACAAATCAGCCTTCACTTAGATATCCAGGATTTATACTAACCATTGGTTTATAAAACCTAAACTAAAAATATAATTTAAAGTAGTCTCAGGTTAGGTCTCATATGTCTAAAACACTCATGTTCAAATCATACTTGGAGCAATCCCTTTCCCTTTAAACCAAAGTCCTAGAGAATTCCCACAGATAAAGTGCCAATGGTTTTAAACTAAGAGTTAAAAAGCACAGAAACACTAAGAGAAAGCCAACCTTACAGAACATTAGCAGAAACAACTAGCAACAGAATCGAATCCTCAAAAACATCACATGTTGGAAATTAAAGTAACTAAATGCAGATTAAGTGAATATAATATGTTTGAAGAAGCAGAAGATAAAATTTAAAAGAAATTAAAAATCATGAAAGATCAAGAAACAAGAGACTATCAAAAATGATGAGGCACATTTAGAAATAACCAAATTAAACTTCTAGAACACAAAAATATGATAGCATGCAGTATTTGTACCTGTTGAACCATTGAGGAAATCACTGATTTAAATAGCAGGTTAAAGACAACTAAAGAGAGAACTAATGCATTAGAAGATAGAGTAAAACAATCATCTGATAATATGATGCTGAAAGACATGAGATAAAAAAAAAATTAATTATATTACATCTTAAATATAACTGGAAATTCAAAGTCAGGCATTTCTAGGATCAGTTAGTTCAGCAGTTCAAACATGTAGAGCCTCCAAAAAGGCTTCTCCACAATTTTCTTGACTTCTCTGCAATTTTCTTGGCTTTTATCATCATAAGATAATTACAGCAACTTCAGTAATCCTGTCCTCACAGACTGTGGCCAAACACAGAAAGTTGGGTTCTCCTGGAGCATCTTGTATATTTCATTTCATTTAAGAAGGAGACAATAAAGTCCCAGAATATTTCCCAACAAATATCCTTTCATGTTTCATTGTTCAAGATGAGTTCACACGCCCACACCCAACCAGTAACTAACACCAGGCCATGAATTGACCATGAATGTCTTAAACCAAGCATAATTCACACCCTGGGAATAAAGGATTCACTTCCCCCTGAGCACATTCCTTCCTCATACTTGGACAAAATCAGCAGTGTTAGTACAGAAGAGATGGGAGATATTTTCAGACTGGGCAACCAATAATGTTTACCACAGTGTGTCCTACTAAATAAAATAGGTTTAAAGAAGGATATTACAGAGATTACTTGATAATATATTGAAGAAAGCCATTTAATTTTTATCATTATTTAAAGACTTCAATGATTGGTGTTGTCCATATGTATGTGTGTTTTTGCATTTAGAATTAACAGCCAAACATTGCTGTAAGTAGTGACCCCAATTTTTAATAGACAAGTTCACATACGAATTCTCTGTCCACATATATTTTTTTAGAAAAATATATGAAAATATGTAATAGATGTTCCTGCTAAAATCAGAAAACAATTAATTGAATTCTAGTTTCCATTTTATAAAGTGAAAATAAGAAATAGGATATGATGTGACCAGAAACGTCTTGAGAATACAATGGTAGGAAATATACTGACTTACATTTGCTCTTTCATATATGAGCTAGAACTATTGAAGCCAATTCCACGTAGTATGGGGCTCATTTGCCTTGATCTTCAGAAGAGACAAAATTTGAACCCAAGAATTTACTTCAGGAGCAAAGCTTTCTTAAAAGCAGCCTGAACTACATCACTCATAGCACTGTGACATCAAACTGCCATAATGTTTAGACTTCTTAATTGCTTCACTAAGTTCTCATAATCATTTCTTGAAGTATTATATAATTAACTTATTAATTACTGTATTAATTTAGATTAGTGTATTAAATTACTTTGTTCTCTTAATTTGTTCACCTATATTATGACTAGAATACACATGTATTAATAGAGCTTAGATAGTTGAATGAGACCAGAAAAAAAGCTAGATCATGTACATCTCAATTCCTCTTGATATTCTGATCAATGCTGAGTACAATTTGCATTGCTGAATATTTTTAGTTTCACTAAATAAAACCTCAAAATAAATTATACTAATCTATAGAAACAAAATGAAAATGTGCCCATTTTTATTTTGAAATAAAGGCCCTTAACATTAAGTTCACCAGAGGATTTGAATGTCTAGGCATGTGTGAATGCTTCCTAGGTAAAAATGTAGCCAGACAGTGTGTATTAAAAGATGTAACTTGTAGCATGGTTTCACAAGATTTTTCTACTGCTGTAAAAAACTCTGTGAGAAATTCATCTAGATATATTGACAAGGAGAAATATCTTGTTGAAATCTTTTTCAAACTGAAATTAGAGTTGGAGACAGCTTCATTCCTGCCACAGATTAATTTTGAAAGGTGCATTTGCTTGTTTCCCACACACATTTTTCTTTGCTTAAAATATGCTGTGCAATGAGGAAAAGAGGTTGCTTATTTGCAAAATTCTATAGTGCCTTTCTAGTCTCAGGGATGTTTAAAAGCATATGAAGACATTAAAATCCAACAGCAATATTTTTTTTCCAGGTTGACTGTAGCCAATAATCACATAGAAAAGTTGTGGCTGACTTGTAATTGGGGATCCTGCTGTGGTCCCACAGCCTTTTCTGTTTATGCATATACCAGTGTAGATAAATACTTACTTGTTTTATGCATGCAAGTTCTGTATAAATAACTTTGGGAGTCAAAAAAGCAAGTTGATGGCCACCACAAAGGTGTAAAAGGCACATTCCTCTCTTACTGAAACTTGCAACACATACATTTAAATATATAGTGTTTAGTGTAGTGATATGACCCACAGACTTTTATGTTGATTTTGGTTTAGTAATGCTTGGGAAATCAATTCCTCAGCTGCAGGGTCCAGTTCATGGGGTGATATCATGAATACACATTTGAAATGAAAATATGGATGCACTAGCATGTTTTCAAAGTAAAACTAAAAGCAATGCTATCCTTTATAATAATAGACACACTCAAAACAGTTGAATATTTAACAGTCTAATAATACAATGTGTAATAGATTTACTGCAAATAGGTTTTAATACAGATTATTTGATGATATGTTTCAAGTTAATGAGACATCTGAGAATATCCAATATAAATTTGGAAACAGATTTTTATAGTTTTAAATTCCCTTGTATGCAGCCTATTGTAAAATATAATGGGCGCTACAACTTTGTTAACTAATGTTTTCATGTTGACGTGTTTTAATAGACTGTTTGGGGAAAAAAAATCAATATATTTAATTGTATTCTCCTGGCAGAGTGTCACGTGAACAAATTAGATCTAACTTAGGTCCTACAGGAAACCTCTCTAGTCAATATCTAGTGTATACTGTTTTCTTCAAGTATGGTCTTTTGGGATTTGATTTAATTTCCTAAAGTTTTGAGGTAGAAACTGAAGTATTGTGAAAAAGAAGAAATATGAGCCCAAATGAGCATCAATTATGACCTAAAGCCATGAAATGAATGTAATAAATATTAGTAAAGGAAGGTCATTAGTGGAAGCTACCTGTCTGGTAAGCATAGACTTTAAGAATTTAGAAAAGTGATCATTGTGAGTTCCAATTAAAAATATAATTTTTGTTCATTATGTGGAAATGTAATAATGTGGAAAAATTGTACATTTAAAATTTTATTTACCTCAAATAATGAAATATTTCCTGTGAAATTAAATATATCTTTACACTATCAGTGTATGCCAAAGTTTGTTCAGCACCAGGCAGCTTCTTTAAAGTTATATAAACTATGGAAGCAAACTGTCTATCAGGTGAACAGATATAGAATATGTGGTACATATATGCAATGGAATATTATTCAGCGACAAGAAAGAGAAATCCTGTCATGTGCAACAACATGGATGGACCTATACTCAGTGAAATAAGTCAGGAGGAGAAAGACAAAGACCATGTGATTTCACTTACTTGTGCAATCTAAAAACAAAGAATGAACAAAACAGCAGTAGACTCATATTCACTGAGAAGTGACTGCTGGTTACCATGGGGGAAGGTTTGGAGTGGGTGGTTTGGGAGGGTGATGGGGGATAAAGGGGCACAAAAGTTCTCAATCATAATGTTAGGTTGGTCACAGGGATGGTAATGCAACATGGAGAAAATAGCCAATGATTCTGTAACATCTTCATATGTTGACAGATAATAGTTGTACTTGTGGTGGTGAGGATTTAATAATATGGGTAATTGCTGAACCACTGTGTTGTATGTTTGAAACCAATATAAGATTATATATCAACAATACTTCAATTAAAAAAAGTTACCATATAATAAGTATAATCAATCATAGGTTGATTATAATTTGAATTAAGATCTTATTTTGATTATTAAAATACTTTAAATAGACATTTTAACTCAGCTTGGAAACAGTCTAAATGCACAGTTCTTGGGATTCACAGTTCCTTATTAAAATTAGTTCTCATGAAAAGGTTTTGTCTCTCTGAGACTGTCTTTTAACATCTCTCTTTTTTTTTTGTATTTTGGGAAATAACTGAAAGATATACAGCTTATATTTCTACATTTTTCTTAGTGTGGCTAGCCTAAGGTCACATCATCAGGGATTAGTGTATTGTGATATCTAGGGCAGGGATTTTGTCTTTCTTGTTCAATATCTTAAACTTGTATTTACTGTACTGCGTAGTATATGCTCAATAAATATTAATGGAATGAACATGTAGAAATTAGATATGGTCGATTGATTATAAGTCTTAAGTATCCTATAAAAGGATGCTTTATGGTAAAACTTAGGAATTCCATAGAAATATGAACTCTCTAAAGGAAGAGTATGCGTTCTATGTTGATTTATTCTTCTAGTAATCTTGGCTTCCATTAAACTAAAAAAATTTTAGGACAGTTCTGTTCTTTAAGGAATTAAATATATGACTATTGAAGGATTTAATATTTTACATCCTTAACATTTTAAAATACTCAATAGAGTAATACTATGTTATTAATATTAAATTACTAATATTAAATTATTAAATAGCTTAATAGAATTTTAATTTTAAGGGACTAAAATATTGATGTTAGATTAAATATTTAATGTTGCAGTATTATTAATATGAAAGTCATGAATATTAAAACACAAATGTAAAATATTCATTCATTTGGTCAGTCATTCAGCAAACATACTGGGCTGCTGACTATGTGCCAGGCAATGTTCTAGGTACATGCGATATAACAGTGAAAAAAGAGATAAAACCTGTCATGGAGCTTATGTTCCAGTGGGGGGAGATGGGCAACAAACATTTGGAGAATGCACAAACAAACAAATGTATAAATATTTGGAAGTGGTGAATTGTATGGAGTATAATACTACTGAGTAAAATTATAGAGAGCTATGGAGGAGTACTATTTATATATGACAGACAAGGATATGCATTTGAAGTTACCTGAATGAAATGGAGAAATGAGCCATAATGATCATAGGGGAATGTCATTCCAAGCAGAAGGAACGTAGGCAAAATAGATTGGAGTGGGAAGGATGCTTTTCCTGTTCAAGAGAGAGCAAAATATCTGATAGGGCTGACAAAAGAAAAACAGCAGTTACTGGGGGTAATATGAGTGTAGGGGTTTGTTGTATTCAGGCCAGAGTAAGGACTTGGAGTTTTATTGTGAGATTTGAAGCCCTGGAGGATTTAGAATATAAGGATGATATGACATGGCCTGCTTGTTAAAAGGAGCCAGTGTTCTAGCTGCAACCTGGGGGTGGAAGGCCATGATCGGAAGACATGCAATTTTAGAGAGAAACTGGTTAAGAGTATATTTCAATTGTGGTAGAGACTATGTTAGGGTGGAACAGGGTATTAATTGTGCGGTTTGTAATAAATATCTTTATTCTAGGTATATTTCAAATATAATGCTGACGTTTATCTCTCTGATGTATTAGAAGTAGACAATGAGAGAAAGAGTCAAAGGTACATCACAAGTTTTTTGGCTTTAGCAATTGAAAAACTGGAGGTGCCATTCTAAAAGGAAGAAAATTGGGGAATATATGGTATGGAGGAGGAAATAAAATACACGGTTTTAGACATGCTAAGGTTCAGATGCCTTCTAGTCAAGTAGAAGCACTGACTGGATAGCTGCGTGGCTGTGTTAAGCTGGTGATCACTCTGACTCCAGTAGCCAGGATGCAATTTGCAGAAAGAGTTCTTTCTTTTTGTCCACAGATCATAAATTCCCAAACCAAAACAAGAAATATATTTTGTCCTGTCTTTGAATTTCCTGTGATACTTGGTAGAGCTATTGGACCTTTTATTTGTGCTAATATATCTTATTATAACTAATTAAGATTACCCAAAGTGCCATTTGGAAAATTAGTATAACCTGAACATAATAACCGATACTCATCATGACCATTCGTTGACTGACTGTGCCAAGCACTCTCCTGAGTACTTTATTATAGCCCTTGCCAAACTCTTACTTCATTTCAAATGCACCAAACACATAACAGAGCCTTACTAATGCCAAATAATTTGCTTATGCTATACAGCTGGTACATTCTCATAACTCTAAACCCCTATATTCTTATAGAGCATTTAAAGTCATACTATGATTGGAGGTACAAATTATGTCTGTCATATGAATTTTTCCCTAAAAGAAATTAAAATGAAGAAATAATGTTGAAGGAAACATTTTTATTTGAAGACAAAATATTTCCTCTAAGCAAACATTAATGTACTCAATTATACTTAGAAAATCTTTTCTGGCATTTTTTGCTTTACTGTCCCAAAGCAACCAGTGGTGATTTCCAGATACCCAAATAGTACCATACTGCGCTCCACTAAAACTTCTGGTGTCTACTGAGATCTCCATCCAAATCTGATACCCAGCACTGTCCCCATGTTCTTAAACATTCTGACACTTTTAATCCAGATTTTTGAACACTCAGTACTCATCTCCTAAACTCCTGCTTTAGATGGTTTAAAATTCCTTTCAATTCATGTGCCATCCAGGCACATGGACAGTGAATAGGAAGGTATTAATAGTTGACCATGAGTGACTGGGCTGATTTAAAAGATGGTGTAGAGGTCGGGTGAGATGTGAACAGCAGTTGCAACTGATGACTTTTGTTTATTGTTTATAACTTTTAGCAGATGCAGTTTAGGTGTAGGTATGTATATGAGTTAACAGTGAGTTGAAATTACCTCTAGTTATATCAGGAAAAAGAAAAAAATGTGTTTACATAAAATTTTGATAACTATTTTAGCCAACCTGTTGTATCATATACCTGGGGTTCTCATAAAGGTGAAACATAGACTCCATCAGTGAGTAAGGCAGTCATCCAATAAAAAGAATTAAAGTGTATGAAGCATATAGCCTGGAAGCTATAAAATAGTAGATGCTCAATAAACATTGTAAAATTTTGATGTGTAAGCAAAATGCATAGTTTATAATCATGACATAGAAGAATGTTGTTTTTGTTGCAATAATTCAAAAGATAACCTTTGATCAGTTTGTATGAACATATAGAGTTAATCAAATATGAGTACGTGTGTGTGCAATCTCATATAAGTGTTTGCACACAAAAACACATTCTTTATTTTCTGTTTTAAAGACAACTCTGGTTTGGGTAATATTAAATTACTATTAGGATGTGGTATTTGTTCATAAATATGTACATGGTTTCTTCATATATGGGGCATAGGTATTTTAAAAAATTACGAAATTCATAACTTTAAAGGAGAATTTTCAGAAAGAACACTTAGAGCAAAATATCATTGTAGGACTGTCTCATTCATTCTCAAAGTGTCCAACAAGACAACTAAGCAATACTAGGAAAACTACTAAAATGTCCTCTGCAGATTCAACCTTTTTGAAAAATGTAAGTGACAAATGATGTAATATAATATAAAATAAAATTTGGGGCTGTTTCTCTTGTCAGCCTTAAATTCTAATGCTCCTTCTGATGAGTAAAGGATCCATTGGTTTCTCTTTGTTTGACAGGTATTATCACAGGCCACTCTTCTTCTAAGGGTTTGCTTCATTATCCTGACCTTGACCTCTATTGGATTTCTTCTGGATCAAAGGCAAGAAGTGAAATTATTTCATTTTATGTAATTTTATAATGTTTTTAAAATATCTGTGCAACTTTGATGTTCACCATTTATTAAAAAAGTAAAGTTGAAAGTAATTTCACACTTTCATTTTAAATGAAACAGTAACAGTTTATCTGATTATAAATCAAGGGTATACTTTAAGTCTAAAACCTTTAAATGAAATTTATGTTTTTCAACTTTATTAAAGAAACCCTATAAATATAATGATTAGTTTGGCAAAACATAGAACATAACTGTATTTAATATAAAAACATATTTGAGTATTTTTCCTTTGCCATAATGATTGAACTTAAATAGTTCATAATAGATGCCAGAATCTCTGTCTGTTTAAAGCTTATGTCCTTTACCCTCATATTATTTAAAGAATATTATTTCAAACACTACCCTAGTAAGAAAATACATTCACTTGAAAAATTTTAAATTTCTTTTATGACAGGAGATACATAGAAAGGTGTCTATTCATTTTTGCTTATTGTTTATCAATCATTAATATAAATAGTAATAACAATATTTATGTACTCAATTTGTGCCAGGGAATATCTTATTAATTTTTACAACAGCAGCCCGAGATAATAATTATTATGAGGCTCATTTTACAGACCAAGAAAGACAGATGGACAATAGCAATAGAACAGAACACAAACCCAAACAATGTGACTCTTCAATTCACATGTTATATAATTTACAATGTATCATAACTTTGTGAAAAATTGCAAAAACGTGCAGTCATACATCTTTGTTGTAGTGTAACTGTTTCTCAAGTAGGTAACCAATAACCATTACTTTCAGGAAAATAAAATGTATTTAAAAATACATTTAACTTATACTGAATGTTGTATCACATTCCCAAGGAATGCTTGATGAGTGTTCTGGAATAGCAGCAGATTCTGTAGTTTCATCATCCAATGATCTTACTGGTTAATGAAACTGTTTATAATATGTATTCCCTATAAACATTTGATAAAGAATGATGCAGCTGGCCTACTTCACATAGTTCTATATAAACAATGTGTAGAATTTTAAACTTATTTCCCTTAATACTTTAAAAATTGTGTTTATTTTCTTATTTATTTTGTTTGGCTTTCTGTCCCTACTCTTCTATGCTAGAAGTAAAGTACATGCTGAACCATAAAAAGAGAAAATGGAAACATGAGTCACAAGTATATCTGAAATAATTACCCAGATCCACAGAATCAGAACCCATTCTGTTGGTTGCAAACATTCCCTAGAATTAACAATCAGCCAATAGCAATAGTTGAGTTTCATTTTTTAATGAAGATTTTCTTTGTCTTCACTGATACAGATAAAGACCAAATAAGCAACCTATCAATTTTGCAACAATATATCCTATGTTGTTAAATGCATCTTATTGTATATAATAATTATGTAAAAGTCTAAACTGCCTTAGGCCTTATTCAGAACTTACACTAATGAAAGGGTAATTCATTCCAAACCAGTGCAATAGAAGCCAAAAGAGAATGGAATGATGTTTTTAAAGTGTTGAAAGAAAATTACTGCAATCATATAATTCTATATCCTCTGAAAGTGAAGGTGAAGTAAAAGCTACAAATTCCTATAGCAAACTTCACTTTGGATAGTGAAATGTTGAAGATTACCCTTTGAAACTGACAAGTTAGATTTACTTATTATTAACCATTGTCCTAGAAAGTGGAGGAAGGAAAGAGAAATAAAGGCATAAGGATTTGAAATAAATTAATAAATTAATTAGAAAATTCATATTAGCTAATCTAATAAATATAACTAATAAAAATGAGAAAAGTCAAATAATCTGTAGGGAAATTATTCAAATTAATTGAGTTTAGGGAAATTTTTAGAGAAATGGTCAACTATATTTTTATTTACTAGCAAATAATGCAGTACTGTCAAACATATCAAATACCAAGAAAAAATAATTGGAAAATATCCTAAAAAAGGAGTAAAAAAATCTCTAAAAATCACTGTAAAAGTATGGAAATATTGTGAAAGACAAAGAATTAAATAAATAGGAAAATAACTATATTGATAGATCAGAATGTTCAATATTGTAAAGATTACAATTTTCACCTTATTTTTTACATATTTAATGCAAGTGAATTAAAATTGTAAAAGGATTTCATGGAATTTCATAGACCCTTTCATATATATACATGTGTGTGTGTGTGTGTGTGTGTGTGTGTGTGTGTGTGTGTGTATATATATATGGAAACACAAAGGTCCAATAATAGCCAACATGGTCTTGAGGTTAAAAAAAGTGACAGGAGTTGCACTACTGCCTCTCAAGATTTATTATAAAGCTGCAGTAATTAGATATGTTTTATTGGCACAAAGATTAGAACAGAATCCAAAAACAGATCTATGCATATATATAGACTTGATTTGTGACAAAGGTGTCCCTGCAGAGCTGTGGGAAAAGGCTGTCTTTTCAATAAATGTTCTTAGAAAAACTGAATTTGCACAGAGGAATAAGAAAAATAAACAACAAATATTTCATACCGTAAAAAATTAATTCTGGCATCAAGGGATTATAGATTTAAAAGAGGAAACCAATATAGATTTCAGCAGATAGCATAGTAACATATCTCTATAATCTTGGAATAGGTAAAAATATTAAATAATACATAAAAATCCCTTATCAAAAAGGTAAAATTGATGAATTAGATTATAATAATATTAAGGAAGTCAGTTCTTCAAAAATTAACTCTCATTAAAGTAGTAAAAATAAAACCATCAAATAGGAGATATTTGCAAAGCAAAGAGCTTATATCCCAAATGACTGAAATTAAGAGGATCAACAATACGAACTGTTGGAATGCTCACACAGTTTATATTTTAATACCTACCTTGACAAAGTATAAGAATTTTGATGAATTTGAGCTTTTATACACACACACACACACACACACACACACACACACACACACACACATATACACATACACTATATATATATAATATAACCTGGCAGTTCAGTCTCAGTTATATACTATAAAAATTTGAGCATTTATACACACACACACACACACACACACACACACACACACACACATATAATATAACCTGGCAGTTCAGTCCCAGTTATATACTAAACGAACACCCAAAAACATGTAAAAGAATGTTCAGGCAGCATTGTCCATGATAAAAAATTGCTGCCAACAATCTAAACGTCCTTTACAAGGTGCATGAGTACTGGTATATTCACATAACACAGTATTAGAAATACTACATAGTAGTGAAAGAATGCACTGCTGCTACATACAGCATCATGGATGTATCTAACAACATTGAGTAAAAAATGTTAGGTACCAAAAAGTATGTAGAATATAATTTCATATAGTAAAAGAAAAAAAATACTACAGAATGGTCTTTAGCAAGTTATGCCACCATAGTAAATACATAAATTAAAAAAAAGAGCAGGATGGTATGATTACCATGAAAGTCAGAGTAGTGATTCTTTCTGAGATAGAAGGAGGGTAGAAGTATTTAGGATGTAAGAGGTACCATTTAAGCGTGCTGATATTGTGGCTTTTATTTGTGGATAATTATCAAGATACATATTTCTGTTTTGTATACTTCTCTATATGTATGTTTCATTTCATAATATAAAAGATTGAAAAGTAAGCCATAGAATAAATTAATAAAAACTAAATGTGTTTTGGAATATAAATCCTATCTTCTGTTTTTTTTCATTGAAAATTACTCAGTTATCAATTTGTTTAAGAATTAGCTTATCCTAATGATATACATTATTTCATAAGGTGAAATTTTTTGTAATTTTCACAAAACATGATCACATTGGTTGAATACAAATAAGAAACTATTACCTTGTTTTAATTGGATTTAAGTTCCTTGAAAAGAAGTGTTCTCTTTTTTCTATAAAAATGTTATATTCAATATGGCAGAAACAATGGGTCATACTTAATAATAGACTGCAGAAGAAATTTTTAAGTTCAATAAATACACTATGGGTCTTCTTCTTTTTTCTCTACACATCTGTATTCTAAATAATTTATAGCTGTGTTATGACATTAAGAATATTTTAGTTATAAAATTCATAACAGAACAATACTGTTTCTTTTATAAAAGTAAGTATAAATGTTAGATGAATATCATAAAAAGCTTATTTTGAGTTAATACAGTAGCTGTTCATTACTATCATTATGAGACAATTTTTAAATGCTTAACTGTGTGACATTCAAGTGTTTCAAAAACATAGACACACTTATTTCATTTATTTTATAGTTTGCATTTCAAAAATACCATATATACAGAAAATATTCATCACAAAAAATTAATAAAGGTCTATAATTATTCTACTTTTCACATTAGGCATAATACACACTTTCCATCTTCCCAATAATTCAGAAATCGACTGCTCATTATTTTAGAGTATTTAATGATATCAGTCCTCCTAGCAAGTTATTTTTTAAATGAATGAAAGGTAATGGTATTGGGTTACTAAGGCGATTCGAATTTACTTCAAACACTAGAAATTTAGTTTTTTAATAATTTATTTTATTTATTAGTTGAAAGTATGTTTCACCCTAACTCATCAGTGCTCAAAATCTAGGCAATAAAATGATAAAGAACAGATTCTCCTTAAAACAAAATGCATTTTATTTCTTAGTTTAATGCCTGTTTTCAAACACTTTTAGAGGCACATGCTCCTCAAATATATTAAAATGCTGTGTATTTCTTGAAAATTAAAGTAAATGTTTCTCACTGTATTAATTATGATATGTAAACATATAAAGAACATATTTAAAGCTAATGTATGTTAATGACATTTATTTCAGACCTAAGGCATCTGTTTTGGAAACTTCCCGTTGCTTGGTGTTCCTAATGCTGTGCAGACTCGGTCATCTGAAGCCTTTCATCCCTGCCTTGTCATTTGCTTTTGAGGTAAGACATTTGCTTCAGATGGCTTTAGCAGCATTCTACATCTGTTGCATATTTAATACATTCACTCAACAATGTATTTGTCTCTTTTGACTAATACTTGTAGGAAATTTTTGCCTATTCATTTACCTAATCTTACTAGTTGTATCATCTTAAACTAGTTAATAATATTCTTGAGCCTCAGTTTTCCAGTCTTTACATTTAGACTGATACCATTGACCTCATGGAACTGTTGGAAAATTACACTGTGTGATGTTTATAAAGAAATTAGAGCAAATAGTTGGTTCTCAACAAGTGGTAGAAGGGATTTTACAAAAAGTTCTTGGCAGAGATTCTGCCATTTGAGATTTTTCTCTTTAGGCTGCTAAAATGAAAATTGTGATTAAAACGTCTTGTCAATTACCTACAAATGGTAATAATTATATAGAAATAAAGTCATTAATGTCACTGAGATTTTTATACAGCTAAAAAATATATGTTAACATTTGACCTTCTGTGATGATTAAAACTTATCTTGTAAGAACAATACTGAACTTCTGGGTATATATTTACTGTTCAGATATTGAACAACTGTTAAAAACATTTATTATCATCATTATGTCTTAAAAGATATGATTATATTATTTTAAATTTGGGGTTCAGTTCTGTAACTTTGATGCTGAGGAATCTGCCAGTATCCCCAGAATGTGTGATATGTAACATTAATTAAGCATGAAACCTAAATGCTAACATTGCCCCCAGCATCAGTGGAAAAAACTAAAACAGATACTTTCATAATTTAGTAATGATTGTAAATTGAAACAAACATTAGAAAGCAATTTGGTGCTACCATACAAGGCATATAAGTATAAAAATGAGAAGGGGAAATATATGTGTGTAAATGTATTTGTTGTATGTTTGTAAATATGTCTGGAAAGATAAATAAGAACCTAACATGGTTGCCTGTATGAAGGTGACTTGTATGGCTAGAAGAAAGGAATACGGGGCTTATTCTTCTTCAAGTTAATATTTTTCAGTACCCTTAAAATTTCTGAACCATATAAATATATTTCTTACTTTAAAAACCATGAAAAAATTTTAAATGAAGCGTAAAACCTTAGTATCAGCACTTTGGATATTATCTAATCTATTACATTTTTAATTTAAAAAGGCGTTAAATAAAGATTATGTAATGTGTACATATATTGTTTCTTGAGATTTCAACCTAAAAGCAAAATGAAGAAGCATAACTTGCATACATTTAATGAAATTTGGAAATATACACGCCAAAAAAAGTACCCATTAAAATCAAACAGCATTTTCACATTTTAAAGAGAGATGACATTCTAATTATAGGTATGAAAGAGAATAATTTCATTGACTGTACCTATTCTTGGTTATATTGTGTTAGTTTATCTTAAAAGTTCCTGAAGCAAAAAGAGAATGTGGGTTTACGTTTTCTATGGTATAAACAAGCAGGATGATTGCCTACAGAAACACACTGCATTTGGAGTTTTTTGTTGAGGATGATGGAGGGCAGGGTATAGTATATAACTATTCAGTATATGATGAACTCTAGAGATGAGATGCTGTCCGTTTACTTATTTTAGTCAATAGGTGAAAGTGGGTGGTTATGGCCCACATTGCCTGAAGTTCTTGACTGGCTCAGGGACTTACTATTTGTGTGTCCTTGGGCAGTGTGCTTCAGCTTTCTTTCCTCATCTGTACATGATGTAACAATATCTTTCTAATAGGAGGTTGAGGGTTACGTGAGATACTCTATGGAAGAGATTTAGCTCAGTGCGTATACAGCCCATAGTCAGAGAATGCCAGACATTATTGTTGTCACTATTATTTGAATTTAAATATCCCCTGGAATAATTCTCTGCTTTGCTTTTTTTAAAATTCATTTTATTATCATTTATCTACAATTACATGAAGAACATTATGGTTACTAGACTTCCCCCTTCACCAAGTCCCTCCCCACAACCCCCATTACAGTCATTGTCCATCAGCATAGTAAGATGCTGTAGACTCACCACTTGTCTTCTCTGTGTTGCACATCCCTCCCTACATTATACATGCTAATCGTAAGGCCCCCTTTCTTTTTTCCCTGCCCTTATCCCTCTCTTCCCACCCCTCCTGCCCAGTCCCTTTCCCTTTGGTAACCGTTAGTCAATTCTTGGGTTCTGTGATTCTGCTGCTGTTTTGTTTCTTCAGTTTTTCTTTGTTCTTATACTCCACATATGAGTGAAATCATTTTGTACTTGTCTTTCGCCACCTGGCTTATTTCACTGCGCATAATACCCTCTAGCTCCATCCATGTTGTTGCAATGGTAGGATTTGTTTTCTCTGTGTGGCTGAATAATATTCTGTTGTGTATATGTACCACTTCTTCTTTATCCATCCATCTACTAGTGGACACTTAGGTTGCTTCCATATCGTGGCTATTGTAAATAGTGGTACAATAAACATAGGGGCGCATCTGTCTTTTTGAATCTGACAGCTTTTTTTCTCTGGGTGAATTCCTAGGAGTGGAATTCCCGGGCTAAATGGAATTTCTATTTTCAGTTTTTGGAGGAACCTCCATATTGCTGTCCACAATGCTTGAACTAGTTTACATTCCCACCAGCAGTGTAGGAGGGTTCCCCTTTCTCTACAACCTCGCCAACATTTGTTGTTGTTTGTCTTTTGGATGGTGGCGATCCTTACTGGTGTGAGGTGATATCTCATTGTGGTTTTAATTTGCATTTCTCTGATGACAAGTGATGTGGAGCATCTTTTCATGTGTCTGTTGGCCATCTGAATTTCTTCTTTGGAGAACTGTCTGTTCAGCTCCTCTGCCCATTTTTTAATGCTTTGCTTTTGGATCCAAAAGTCAAGTTTGGGAACAACTGGCATGAGGGATATGAAGGAGCAACACTGTTGAATTAAAAGTCATGGTTAGATTTCTTAGTCTGCCATGTTTTATTTCTTGGAACTATAACATAAATCTTTCCCATTTATCATAGTTTTAATAATACTGTTCTATGTCCCACATAAGAAATATAGAAACCTAATACATGGTCTCAGTGATTCCATTCCATATGAATTAAGGCTGACTGATCAGGAGTGATTACGATACAAAGACACAATGTTTTCACCATTTTTTTGAAGTTATCATTAGAATCAGTGTAACTGAAGCTTTTAATCCCTTTTCTTGTATAACTCAATGTTGTATATGTTGGCAACATCAGACTCTTCTTTATTTATCTAGAAGGCTGGTTGAATGTTTTCTGTTTTATTGCTTTATCATGTAAGTCAATTCCATAGGTTTGCAATCTATGCTAAACAAGCATAATGCTGGCAACCCTTACAGATTAAAACACGTGTATACAAGGACACATGGAATGGAAAATTGACCTTAAATTATATTTCACTGAGATTATAAAATACCTCTTAGGTGGTTATAATTCTGAACCAGATATACAAACTATAATTTGAATTTTAGCCTGTGACTTGTATATAGATTTATTCCATGACAGGAGACATGCTTTATTCCCTTCAGCTTATATACAAAGGGTATTAAGTATGGGTGTCATGCTCTTGCTATTTATATGTAGAATTTACTATTACCCAAATGCACAGTTGTTCATTTAGTGTGTATAGTGATTAGTTAATGCCCTAGTACATTTCTCTTTGGATAAGTCCATCAATATTTTGACCATTAATATGCTTTTTTTGTGTTTTTTTTACTTTTTTTTATACCATTCTTAGGAAATTTGAGAAGAAACTTATGTTCTTTGATTCATTCATTTCTCACATAGACATATTTTTCTTTTCTGATAACTCAGGTGTAATTTGTTTAAGATACACCTGTGATTGCTCACATTGATTTAATTTTCTCACATCAGTAGTTATAAAATGTCTGTCCTAATGAACCCTTTTAGAGAAGATAGTTAAGTTAAAGATGAATAGCTATTTTTGATAAATATAGATCATATAAGATAATGGAAATTGTTTGGATTCTGCTTAAATTTTGTTTCATATAGGTTTTTATTTAAAAAGATAGTTAAGGTACTGGAAAAAGCATTTGTTTTGAAGTCACACAAACTTGAGTGTCATTCCTAGATCTGGCAATTGGTTGTGTGGCCTGGAAGAGGTTATCTAAAATAACCACATCTTACTTCCCTTAGTTCTCTCAGCTAAAAAAAGAATAAAAACCTTACACTGATTGTTTTGATATTCAGAAGAGTAAAGGAGATAACCTAGCATAGTATCTGGTATGTAAGTCAAGAATATTATTAATAATGATCATATCCATTTATCTATGCTACACACATACATACATATACAAACTACACACACATTTAAAATAATGTTGTGAGAACTAGGACATTAAACAATGAAAATATAAACCTGACAAATCTCCTTAGTCTTGGCCAAATAAATTGAGTTGATTCAAAAAGAACAAGATAGCTTTAAATTTAAACCTCAGAGAAATTCTAAAGTCTGATTTAGTTTTTAATTTAAATCATTAGAATGGATGCACATCACTCCTAAATGGTAAACCAATGTGTACTTGCTGAGGATAGGCAAAGAACTGGGTAGAATTTGGACAAGGGGAAAGGAAGGTGGGAGCAGCTTACTGAAGTGAGGATACAGTGAGAAGTCCACCAGCAGGGGTGACCCTGGGCCGTTTTGGTAATGAGGTGAACCTAGCAACAACAGCCTGTAGTGTGGATTCCAACAGAAGACTAAAAAATATCCAGCTCATCTACTGCTTTAAAAGGGAGGCAACAACATTTATCCAACTTAGTGAATGTCTGCTCCAGTAAAAACAGAGTAAAAGCCAGTCTTTGTGAAGCTTAGACTTCAATCAGTGTATTAATTTTTGATTGCTGTGTAACAAATTACTATAAATCTAGTGGCTTAAAGTAACACACATTAATTATCTAATGGTTGCCATGGGTCAGGAGGGCAGAAACAGTTTTGCTAGATACTCTACTCAGGGTCTCAAAAGGCTGCACTTAAGGTATGCCTAC